TATAATTCAATGAGGACATCTATGCTGCTTCTTTCTCATCTCTGATTAGCTCACCTTCCTTTTCAGAGTGTTTTGTACCTGCTTATCACATCTAGTAGAAAATACAAAGAAGTTTTAGCACTTTCTTTGGTGCTTACATACACAGCATGCCTACTGTTGACAAGACCTGTCAGTCTACTACTGAATAAACTGCTAAAATGACTGATCTGATATTCCAAATATGATATGCTTAATTTATGTATAAACTGATGATATGCTAAAAATGCCACTCACACAAGCCTCATGCTATATATATATATCAAGCTATATACTGTTTTAGGTAAGAGAGCACATATTCTTTATGTCACCAGGCACTAAAGAATCTGAGATTCAAGCATTAAGAGAATGGAAAGAGAGGACCTAACTCTATTTGCTATACTTAAGCATTGAATGCAGCTCTAGATGTTTTATCAAGGCATAAAAGCATAAATAAATTATATTTTGGTGGCCAGTTATCTGACCCTCTATAAGAACATTTGTAAACTAATCTTCATATACCCACCTGTTGAAAGCATATCCTTTATTAAAGGAGCAAATGACATCTCATAAAAACAGCATCTTCTAAAAACTGAATGCTTCAGTATCTTTAGAAGAACAGCAAAATGGCAAAGATACTACTCTACTACTTGAAACCCATATAACCGTACACTGAACTACGTAACTGCTTTCAGAAGTGTCCCTACTCTTGGGACACTTCTATTATAACACGGAAGCCACAGCAGTTTGCTCCCCAGTGGTAACCTATAGCACGAGTACACACAACAAGTGTAATTCTCAATTTAAGACACACATTTCTAAACTCAAAATAAATGAATGCATCTGCCACATACAATCTAATATGCACAACTTGCAGTGATGTTGCTTCTCTTTTCTCTCTCTTCAGCTCTTCTCTTACAGCCATGGCTTAGTATCAGCTCAAGAACAATTAGGCTCCTTTCACCATGAAAATTCATTCCTGAGGGCTTTTTTTTTTTTTAGATCAACTGGATTTACTGGATACCTAGCTCAGGTAACATTCTTCTGAACTCTAAATGCGAAAGAGGCGGCTTGCAGCCCCTTTGCTGCTGGTAACATTCTGCTGCTTGCCTCCAGTATAGCAAGGTCCTTGCATGTGATAATGTATTCCTCCTTGTAAGTGTGCCCTTAAGCTCTCCTATGGAATAAGCAACCAAATATTTCCTCACACTGGAAATATTAATACAGTGATTCCTGTTCAACAAGATAGCATGATTTTTTCATACTCAATATTAACAGTTCACAATCTTTATCTTTTCTTACTTGCCTACCTCTAGCCTCCTAAGGACAAGGACCAGACTATTCATAAAATCTTCTTAGGCATATGTTAGAAGTTGAAATCAAAATTCAGAGTCCTGTAGCTTGTGGGAGGAAAGGACTTATCTGACTACATGATAGAGAAGTCAATAGAACTTATATGCAAAATTAATGTCAAACATATTCCCAAAATTACAGCCAAAACAATGTACAATCTACGCTTCATAACTAAGTAACGGAGAAAAAATAAATAAAGTGGGGCAGGTATCAAATACTTTATGATGCAACAACTTCAAAACTTTCAGCCCCAAATAATAACAGGAACTGCTTAAAATGACAGTGTGTAGATGAAATATCAAGCGGCTGAAATAATCAATTTATGGATAAGATTAAAACACTGTGTGTACTACTTAGGAATTTAACAGCATCTCCCAAGACACAGTGCTGTAGCAGAGTTCAAGTGCACATGGGATTTCCTTCCTCCTGTTGCCTTAGGAGAGAAGCATTTTAGCTTCAGCAGAACACGAAGTCAAGCATTAACTATGAATGAAGCTGTGTCAGCTGCCCTGAAAACTAGCCCAGCACAAAAATCCAAGAGCAGATGAACGCTGGCCTTGCACGAAAGCCACTCTTCAGCACCGTCACCACGCAGCACTTAGTTGTTTAGATGCTGGCTGGCAGTATGTGTGCACAGCTGATCCCCAGCTGACTTGCAGCACAGCATTGCACTTAAGGAGAAAATGATTTTGAATGGACAAAAAAAAAGAATTAATTAATCTGGCTAAACCAAAATGCAGCATGTTCAGTGTTGCTCCTCTGGACTCAGAACATCTAATAATATTTTGTTAGCACTTGCATAGCTGATGCATGCCCAGCTCCTTACATCTCTTAAGGTTGTTCATATTCTTCCCTGAAATCTATTTACATCAAAAAAAAAAGGCTATATTATTACAAATATGGAACTATTGTTTTCCATTCAGAAACGCTGACTCTACAATCATTAATAGTATCTTTGTGTAACAGTATTGTCTCAGCTTTCAGGAAACTGTGAGGAGAAATCTGGTAAAGTCAAGGACGTCAAGGTAAAGTCAAGGAAACTCAACCCTGAAACTCGAAGTCACTGTAAAAAACAAATTATGTAAAAACAGGAGATAATGGGAAAACGAGAAACTAAGGAAAGAACGTGGTCCTAAGAATCCACCATGCCCTGGTTTGTGTGGTGTTCTTCTTGCTAAGTCTGTACTGCCTGCAGGCCTTGTTTTGTGGCCCAGGCCGTTTCCCGGGAAGGGATTCAGTGCGAAGATCTTACGGACAACATCTGAACATGAAGTGCCACTGCGCTGTGCCAGATCCGCATCAGGGCGCCAATAATGATGACATTTTCAAGACTCCAGAACTGTCATCCAAGAGTTTTATAAGACTTGGCCAAGAAGCTGAGAACTAGCAATGCTAATATCGAACAAAATCTTGTAACCTCCCGGGACGTGCCAGGAGAACAGAGTGAAAACACAGGATCCATTATGTGGGATCAGAGTTAGCATTCAAGACAACGCACTACGATGTCAGTCCCAAGGGGAAGGCAGGAAAGGCAGCCTGATGGCAACAAAGGTAATGAGCAGGAATAAAAATGTTACCGTCCTTTAATTAGTGCCAACCAATAGAGCTTATGGGAAATAGGTCCTGTCAAGCTGGTTATCGAGATTCAACAAGATCACAAGTTCAGCTGACAAAACCAACCCCTGACTAAAGCTGTGGAGAATTCTGGAAGGCATTTTCCTTTGTGCTTATGTCATTTTGACAAGAGATCAAAACCAAACAGAACCCCCCATAGATCAATGCAGCTCATGCCAAACGCGTTAAAGCTGGAGCCTATGATGGCAGAGGGGTTCTCAGAGAGGTTCTGTTGGATTTTGCTCTTTGCCTTCTCACCTCTATTACTAATGAAGAAAGAAAAAAAGTGAGAAGATTCTTGCAGACGCCAACCCAGGACATGCCAGATCCCATGGATTGTTTCAATTATGCAGCAAACTGAGCTACTGAAGCCATACATTTCCCTCAGGCATGTAGGGTTACTAACAGGTACAAGACAGGAAAACTTGTAAGTGTACAGGTCAGAATGGACCTAACATTCTGAATGAACTTTTAGTTTGGAACATAGATAAACAGCCTAGTTAAATTAAAATAAAAATTTTAAACCACAGTATAGCTCATTTTAACAATAAAAGTAAAGAAATCCTCCCTGTCCTCCATTAGGTTTCAAACAACCTCGCTTCAGGGCTATTTTAACTATGAGTTCTCAGAAGTGGAACAAATAAGGGTATTCACCAGAACAGCAATGCACGTGGAATGAATGGAGACAGAAGTGCCCATTCAATCCCCATTCAGCACTCTTTGAAAACATCATTCATGCTGGGAAACCACCTCTGCTAGGACTCTAGCAGCAGCTCTCTTCCTCAGTAGCCTTCCTCATGTAACAGTGCCCACAGAACACACTCTGAATCGGATAATGTAAGACTTTTTTGCTTTACACATCTTTTTGAAATATGAGATTAAAGCAATCCCAAATCCATAACATCTTCCCTTGAAAATTCATCTACAGTCCAATTCTGTGAGAGTTTTAGACCAGAGGAATACGATTTCCAAGGAAGCTTTCAGCAGGTTCTTAGTATCTGCATTTTCAAGAAACAAAGAAGTATGTGTTCTCAAACAACGCATCTCAAAGGAAACACACTGTAACAATTCTATGGGATTATTAACGAGCTCTCAAACCTCTTAACTCTCCACATAAAGATTTATGTCCTTCCCTTAGCCTTTAGGGATCTTAGCTACATCCTAACAAAGGCTATCAAAGAATTTGTGTTCAAACATTTGAGTTAACACACTACAATAAGAACAAAAACCATACAGACATGTTTAAGGGGAGGCCAAATTGTTTTATTTAATTTTTCATAACCAATTATATTTTCCGGCAAAAAGCTCTGCTCTTCTAAGAAATCAGCAATGCTCAAACTGATGGGCTGCAATTTTAGACAAATTCCTGTTAATTTAACAACAAACAGATGACCAGAAATTCCAGACACTGCTTACAGAGCAGAGAGCAAAAATTCCCATTTGGATGAAATTCCATGTTTATACTTGACTGGGACACAGAATATTGTCAGTAGTGCATGAATAAACCATTCACATTTGATCTGGAACCTCAACATCAGAAAGCTGTACTCTCCAAATTTTCATTACCTTGTGCAAATCAAGTCAAGTCTTCATGTGTCAAGAACACACTTAAAATTGTCCATATTTTATATACAGGACATCTACCATTCAGGCAGCGCAAAATACATCCTTTCATAACAAAACTAAAATGTACCTCTCAAAGTATGAACAAGAATATACACATAATACATGATGTACACTATTTACACAACCATAAAAAATATAATACAAGGGGGTTTTGTACGTGTAAGACTTGACTGTAAGACAGTCTCTTGCAATTCACGTTGCAACAAGGCATGATAAAGTTTCCTGGATGGATTTTTTTTTTCAACTTTCCAGACATTTTGGAAACTATGCTTGAACTTTGAGGAGAGTTTTCAAATGGACAGCCATCA